GTGGGAGAACTTGCACAATTGGTGGCTGACTAAATACTTTTTTGCCCCACTGTATATCCATTTTGGGAAGGTTTGCAATGGTTCTAAAATATTGTAGCCAATGATTTCAATTATTTGTCAGTGCTGATTCAGATATGATCTTAAAATAAGTAAGCCTACTCATTTACTTAAAATTATAAATATAGACAAAACTTAATTCTAATCATCACAGTATATAGACAATATTTAAACACAAGTTTAAAAAGTAGTAACATGAATTAATACTTAAATCAAGCCTCCTTCTCTTTCATTCACACACATATAAATATATATTTAAAATATTCTACTACAACAAATCCTTGCCATTGGCCATGCTGGCTGGAGATTATGGCACTTGAAAGAGAAAGTCAGATTATTTCCTTTTTGCTATGGAATGGAAGAGAGAGATGGTTTTGGGGTTAATGGAAATTCTGCAATTGTAAATAATTGTGAATGTAAATAATCAACAAAATTAGAATTTACTAATTATGGAACTGAGCATGAGACTGAGCAAACTCAGGGAGGCAGGGAAGGACAGGAAGGCCTGGCGCAATATGGTTCATGGGGTCACGAAGGGTCAGACACGACTTAACGACTGAACAAATTATGGAATGTGGGTTTCTCCCTGACTACCAATGTTTGGAACACAGCAATTAAGAAAACAATTTATTCAAAAGAAATAAAAGAGAGGAACTGTTGCACTAATTAAAAGTATCCACATTTGCTGGGAAATCCAAATGAATAAATGACTACTTAACACTGGTGTTCTTGATTTTAAATAAAATTAAAGCTAAGTTTAGTCAAATTCATATATTGCACTCAAAAGAACATATTTTAATAAATTTAAAGAAGCGATAAGGAAAAATTGATGCACAAAGGTGCTCAGGACCAGTGCTAGTCTACATAAAAATTCTAAAAGTAAACTGGAAACAATTTCAATGAGACAAAAAAGGGCTGTCAATATAGCTAAACAAAAAGATCTGAAAACAAAAAAGGATACACAGGTCACCAAAGAACAGTAAGAATAGGTGTCCTGATATTGTACAGACTTTGACAGGAAAGCTAAAGCTCATAATGAGTGGAGACTAACAAAGGATGTTAACATCAAAAAGGACTTTAGATAAGTTCACAACAAAAGGGAAAGAACCAGTATACTAGCTATTAAATGTATATTGCAAAATACTAAGAATTAATAAATATAAGTCATTGCTATTCAACTCCTATTTGGTTTTGATCTTCTCCAACAAGAGGATGCATGCTATACCAGGCCCTTATGAAAAATACAGTGAAACAGATGGATTAAAGTTTGAAAGAGAAAGAAACTTGGCCAAGAAACTCCTATTTATTTGAATACTGATAGCCTAGCTGAAACTTTATGAATTTTGAAAAATCATGGAAAATGGGTAAAGAGTGCCAGTTGACTGGAGAATGGCCAATTTTATCTCTCTTTAAGTACCTTGAAAGCAACATAGCTATTATTTGAAAATATGGCTTTGGCAAAAACTAGTCATGCTAGATTACTTTTATCTCATTTTGTTGGTGGTGTAGTTGGCTAAATTCCTCAGTAGATTTTGGGGCTGCTGCTGCAGTTGTAAAATATTTTGATTTCAGAAAACCATTTCATAAAATCCAACATGGCATTCTGATTAGCAAGCTAGCAAAGTGTGGGCTAGATAGCATGGCAATTTAGGAGATTAATTAGCTGACTCAAAAATGGAGCTGAAAGACTGCCCATCAAGCTGTAGAGAGATAGGTAGTAGGGGAGCCCAAAATTCAGACCTGAGCCTTGTACTGTTTAACATTTTTACTAATGACTTGGATGAAGAGGCGGAGGGAATGCTTATCAGCTCTGCAGATGGCACAAAAATGGGTGGGTAGCTAATGCATGAGAAAACAGAAATAAAATTAAAATAAATCCTATTAGGTTAAAGAAATGGCTTAAAAATAACAAAAATCAAAAACCAAAAACGACAAATGCAAAGTTCCTCACATAGGTAACAGAATACCTGGATACCTAGCTTGGTAACACTATTATTATGAAACACTGGTGAAAAAGATCTTAGAAAAGTAATTGAACATGAGTTGACAGTCAGGAGTAGCTGCAAAGAAAGTACACATCTAATTTTAGGCTTTAACAGCAGGAGTGTATTTCCAAATCAATAATGCTATTTTATTCTGCTTTAATGAGATCCCGCCTCAAAATATTCTATTCTAAGTTCTATATGCACTTTCTTGACAAACTAGAACAAGTTCAGAGAAAGGCAACAAGGTTGACCAGGAATGTAGAAATCAAGCTCTAAAAGAAGAAATGAAAAGATTTGGGAATGCTTAGCTGGGGGCAGGAAATGACAGAACTCCTCAAATACTTAAAAGAGGAAGATAAGGATCCATTCCCCATTGTTCCAGTGCAAAAGACACAAAATAATGAAGTTACTAGGAGGCAAATTCCTATTGGATGTTAACACACACACACACACACACACAGAGCAGATTGACAATGAAATTGCTCAGAGAAGGGGTGAGCTTCTTTTCTCTGGATGAGTTCAAGTGAAAGTGAGGCTCCCATCTATTAGGGAAGCTTTAGTTTGGACTGGAGTTGGACTGGATAGCCTAAGAGGCCCCTTCCACATATATGATCCTATGAACTTTTTTTAGGCAACTTGCTGCTCTTCAGATATTTTGGATTACATCTCCCACAATCTTTTCTTTTTTTGTCATACTGGCTGAGAATTGTAGTCCACTTGAAGATCACCACCCTGCAGCCCTAAATGCACATACAACCGGTTCTGTTCTTTTAAGATCAGATATTGTGACATCACAATTAGATATTTACAAATTTCACCTACAATTAATAGCATTGTTGAAAAAAGTAACTGCCTCCCCCCAGGGAATGGCTACTAATTTTCTCATATCATAATTAAAAAGTTAAGATATTTAAATTAGCTTAACTTACCATCATGCTTTTCTTTTTCAATATATAAACATCCCCTACAACAATTCTTAATGCATTCTGTTGCCATTACTGCTTCTAAGCAAGCTGAAATTAAGGAACCAATGAAGAATGCAGACCTGAAAATTAATAATCACATTAGATCAGAAATTCAGAAAAACTCCTCCCCTTCCTAATTTTGTTCATTTTTTGAGTATTCAGTGCAATGCTTAGAAGTCCAATGTCCTGAAATAAAATAGGTTTCAATGGGAACAATGTTAAGCCCACTCTTATCTCTTTTATTAAGATAAGTATACAGTATCACACTACATTATCCCATACTCAGGAAAATTTATAACTGTAATTCTAATACTTGAATTAATAAAGAATTTTTTTAAAAAAATTATTTTTTAAAAGCTACAAAGTGTGAAATATCCCAAACAATCTAATTGAGTACCTAGCCCCCCAAATATAAAGCTGAATTGCCTTTTTGAAAATAAGTTGTATTTGGCAGCTTCAACTGATACAAAATGTGGAAGCCAAGTTGCTAAAAGTGCACAATTTCAGTGGAAGGATTTTCCATGCATGCAGACAAAGCCACCATATCATGTCTTAGAAAGGGTATCATACCAAGCAACCTTACCAATGCTTGGAGAGGAAATGGCTCAACCTTCTGAAGAACAGGTTCAGAGGGCATTTCACAAAGCAACCAAAGGATTAGAGTTTACACAATTCTATATATTAGTCTGTGTTACTGGCGGGTAATTTTTCCCAGGCACAACTTAAGGTGCTGTTTTTGACATTTCAAGCTCTAAATGGCTTTGAAGCCTTTCTAGCTGAGTGGTGTCTATTCAATATGAATCTCCCTAATCATTAATGCCAGGACATGTCTTCTTAAAAATGCTTTTCTGGAGCTCATTTGTTGGACACACAGGAGAAAGCCTTTTCCATGGTTGCTCCTAAACTCTCTTGGAACCTGCACTCACCCCAGATGCTTCCTGCTTTTAGAAAGGGAGTCAAATTGCAGCCATATATTTCATAACCTACTTTCTCTGATTAATCTTTTCACTGCCAGCCCATTTGCTTCCTCCACAAGTTATGTAAAGAATGATCTTGCTTGACAGAGGATTACTTATTTGCAGGCTACTAATTTTAAAAGAATTTGCCATTTCTAAAACTGTCTTCTAGTGGCACCACAGAGGATACAACATACATGGATTGCCATTTATAAAATATTCTTGGGGTCCTGAGAATGTAGTATATTTGTTTTATCTCTGCCATATATTTTCCATTTAGATTTCTTATACAACTACTTTGCTAATGTGAAATTTCAGACAATGGACATCAACCCTATATGAATCTGGAAAGAGAATGCATTCTCAAAGATGTAATGTAAGATACACTATATCTAGTTAATCTGTTCTAAAGCATGACGAAGGGGGACATTAAGATTACTCTGACACATCAGCTGGACTCTTACTGAAAATAAGACTGAAATATTCCTCTCAGATGAGATGGACTAGAACAGTATCAATGCCTGCCCCAAATCCTAACGGTAACACATTTATACCCTTAAAAACATGCACAAATATTTAAAAAGCTACTGGAGGCCTTTCTTCTTCACATAAAGACTGAAACTTGAAGTGAATTAATCTTAGTAGGTGTCTGCTGAATTTATGGTCCAACAGAGGACCTACTATTGACTAGGAAATGGGCCATTTATCAGTGCAAAATTTTGTGAAATAGAAGCAGAGCATAAGTATGAAGGAACTATACTCTGCTTCTCCAAAGTGCATGTAGCATTGCAACAGCTTATAGGGGATCCCTAAAGCCATGTGAGGAAACCTATAAAGTATATATTTTCTGTGTCCTATCTCCCTGATGAAGTCAACTGCTATGTTCTTTGTCACCACTTCAGTGGGATTAAACTGAATCCAGTTTTATACACCACAGCAACAAACATACTAAAGCAAAGAAGTGCTTGAAATTATGCAAGACAAAATATCAACCTCAAGTATAATTTTATTTCTAAGAATATTTCTGGGCCCAGAAACACCTGGGGCATTCTTAGAAAAACAACATGATGGGAGGGGGTACAGGTTTGTGGGGTTTTTTCTTTGTTTTCGGAAGCATGCCCATCTCATAAACAAGTAGTTTTTGGAAGTATACCCATCTCATAAACAAGTATTTTTAACTCATCTATCTATAAGATTGATAAGGCTGACTATCTTATACAATAATCCAAGGCAGCTCACAACAAAATCAATGAAACAACAACATAAAAACACTTCATATCCTTCCCACCATGGCACTCTGATAACCCATACTCCATACTTATGGGCTTATCACCCTTATCCTAGCCCTGAATGTCTGTAGTTTCTCCAGATTCCAAATATAATACATAATAGCAAAGGGCTGATGATTCTTTTAATTAGTTAACTTAGTGTTGGCTTAGGGTGCTGCATGAACCCAGCTATTTTTATTTATAACCCCCAACTCTGCAATGTGTGTGAATTAGGTCACTATGGCTTCAACAAATTATAGTTAAAACAAATTGTGGCTTAATGGGATACCCAAACTTAGCTACTAATGCAGACAGTACTGAGCTAAGTAGATAGTCTGACTCTATACAAGATGGGCAACTTCATATTACCACCAGAGAAACCTGAAATGGATCTCTGCAACAGTCAATAGGTACAAGACTCACCCTCACTGTTGTTCCCTGGAACTAAAAGCTAAAGTGAGCTGTGCTCTACTGTTTCTTCCCATTGTGACATAGAGATTTTTCCCCAGAGACCATCCCTGATGCAGGGTCCTGTGAAGCAATATCCTATTTCTCAATTGGGAGGGGGTACCTATCAGCAGAGGAAAGAAATCACACATTATACCTGGATAATGGGAGAGCACTCCAGTGTCTCTGGAATGAACTCCTAATTACTAATGGTCCAGAGGTACTCCTTTTGCTTTTCACAAGCAAGGAGTTGTTGTTCTCTTTGTTAGTGCTGGCAAGGAATGAAAAACACAGTTATTCCATTTCTAATTCAAAGTGCGAAGATCACAACAGTTAATTTACCCACAGTAATCAGAAATAGCTTGATGTATGGCATCTTCAACATACTTAATCTTTTTGCTCCTGAGTGAGTACAGCTGTTCTTGTACTCACATTGAAAACATATGATATGTTACTACTTTAACTAATTTCTCTCCTATAAGGAAATACTTTTAACTAAATTGTACTTCTAGAAGGAAATAAACTTGGTACTCATAAGGAAAAAAACCCCTCTGAACTAGATCATGTTCTATAAATACTGAGTCAGGCATTAGAAAATGGCAGACCACGGAACTAAACACAGAACATGTTTGCTTATACTGTACCATGCAATAGAAATTTATTAGCCATTCAAACCCAAACAATGGGTACATTTTATTTAAACTATTATTTATTCTTACTTTCATATTCTATTTATCTTCTATTGCTTATTGTAGTAGATGATGGTAATATTTTAGTACTATAGTCAAGTCAAGTCATCTTTATTTGGTCAATGATCAGCACAAGGTATATAAAAGACATGCAAAGTCCAAACCTACAAGCCCAGCCCAAAAAAAATCTCAAGCAGGAGAAAAAAGTGCATAGTAATATATTACAACTCTAAAAGTGTAATAAAAGGTACAGACCAGAGTACTGTAATTCTCAAGAGGATTTTTAGCATTACAGCTATAATCTAGATCACAACAGAACTAAAAACACTATAAAATAATTCCTAAAACCTAAAGGTAGTACTTCCACAAAATAACTATAATCTATAAAATTAGAGCACAATGAAACTGAAAAAAAATCGATAAAATTATCCCTGTACCAGCTTTTGCTTTATTTCCATTGTGGCAACACAGAACTTAGCTACTGAGTGAGCAATGGAGGGTTTCAAATCTTCTAAAAGGAACTTTACAAGTCGGATTGTCTTCAACAGGTTTGTATAATAGGGGTAAAATGAAAGTAATCTGAATGACCCTATAAAATTTACAGCCTATGGCTGATTGTTTCTATCTCACTAGCACAACATGGGCAGGTTCACTCAATTAATGGAATGTTAGTGTCCTTGCCTTGCAGCAATGCAGAAAGAAAGATGTTATGTCTAGCTTTAAAGAATGCTTTTCTCATCTTGGGATGGGTAGATAGATATTTACTCTTGTGTAAATAACATGGTGGTTCCCATACAACCTTAGTAACCCAAATTCTATTACTCTGGGACAACCTGTTTAGCACCCTGATGTTCCATATCATTCATTCTTTCGATGAGCATTTGCTTAGCCTGATCATATCCTAATGACATTACAAATGGTGCTGAAAGCCTGTGTGATGTAAGCTTCTGCTCTACCACAAATTTCTATTTGAGGAAAAGTCATCAGCAAAAATGAAAAGTAGCAAACCTATTTGAAAGAAATGAGTTTTAATTAACTATCAGCTTCCAAGCTCATACCTGAATTTTGGGCATTCCTGTCTCAAATCTAACCTTGCTGTCCTTTGTTTATCATTATGAGACCAGCAATATAATCCAGTCCTTTACAAAAATTACATTTTTAAATTCATTTTTGAGCAGACATCAGTTCAATTTCAGTTGCAAATAACTGGCAATGCACCATTTATAATAGGATGGTTGAGATGGTCACAGTAGCTCCAGCTTATATTTGCTATATAGCCTTTTCAAGCTCTTAAAATCCCTAATTCAAAAAAGCGACTTTGCAGAAATACATCCCTACTGAATGCTTAAATACAGAGATGCTTAAAGAAGAAAGAAGCCCAAAAGATTATTTGACTGAAATCATACCTGCCCAACATCAGGAATGGCCACAACCTACTATTTAGCATTCCTCATAGGGGATTAACCAAAGGATCCAGGAGCAAATATACTGTGAACTATGCAAATTAATGCCACAAATAAAATTAAAGCACTGGAAATTCAGATTCAGTAGATTTGTGCAGATGGTGATAGATAAAGTCATTGTGTGGTAACTTTACTATGTTCTTAGTTCATAATTTGAATAAAATACCCACTATACTTTAGCCAAATGCCTGAATATGAGGACAGAAAAGCATATAGGAGCTGAAGAGATGCAGACATTAGCTTAATATGCAACTTTCCTGCTCATGAGCATTGCTCACTCAACTTCTGAATTTCCTACATTGAACAAATCATAAAAGGATGATCAGGCTAAATGCAGTCTGTATGACTAAAAATCCTCAACCTGTAATCAGAAACCCCAGCAAAGTATACGGTGTATACATGGTGTTTCCCTATTTAGCCATCATAACTAAGTCATGATTAAAATAAAAACTATTTCAATAAGCTAAAATATACCAATGCAAGTGCCTGAATTTTAGCCCACAGCAACATCATTAATAACTCCTTGGTAGCATGACAGTGTGATGGTAGGGAATGTGGGTACCACTGTATTCTACTTTGCAGATTAAAATGTATCCAGATGCAGCATGGTTTCATGCAAATTAAGGCCCCAAATGAGGGGTCAAACTAAAAAAAAGCACTTGGCAACAGTTTTCATAAATAAATACAATACTGAGAAAATCTGAGGTTGTAAGAATTAATGGAAGATCATAGAATTAATTTGTTCAGAATCAGGGATTTTATTAGACAAGTATGCTAGGCTCTGCAAAAACTCAGGGCAGCTATGAGCACTTCAAAAGGTCAGAAATTATTCCTATTGCCCAAGTGCGGAAGGAGAAATGGAGCTCAGTACACCATGCTCTTCAGGGATTCACATGCCAAGATGACCAAATGAATGAATTTGTGGATTCCTAAACAGTAGCAAATAAGGAATGTCTGGTGACAGAGTGCAGATCTTGAATTAAAAACAAGAAATTGCATAAAGAATTTCACATAACTCAAATTATTATTATTTAAAAAATCAGTTTTTGGTCATTTCATGTATGTATGTACAGAAGAGTACTGGCACAGCTGAATGTCACAAGATTAAGAAGAACCTTCACAAATTTATACTGAAAACAATCTAAGCACTTTTCAAAATATTAATACCATATTATTTATTCTCTTGGGTTGATGTTGCAACGTCCTAATGAAACTTAAGTCACAAATGCATTTATATAATGCATTTTTCCTATATATTTCCTTATTATCACTTACCTGCTAACTTTCGCTCATCACATTATGTGAACTCAACTGCTGTAATCTGTAACATAGTTTTATAGTCTAATGTCTTATATGAATACCATCAACCTTAATTATTCAGGAAACTATGTTTAAGCCAACTTTAGTGCAATGTGTGAGGCAAACTATGCTGTTACAGTATCAGGATAGCATTTTACCTCATGCTATAGAGGGGAGAAAATTATTCTGGTGGCAGCCCATAGATCTTCTGCAGTGAGGCAGTTCATGAATCAAACAAACAAACAAACAAACAAACAAATAAAAATAATTCTTGCACACACACACCCTCTACCCTTCTAGTAAATGGATGGTTTCTTGCTACAGGGGAAAATCAATTCTTCAAAATATTAATACTTCAGTGGAATATATTTTATAAACAATTTTAAAAGTTTAGAACTTCTTCTGTGGTAATATTCTACACAATGTTAAGTACTTTATGCACTATACTATACAGTAATGTAGTCTCAGAAAGAAAACCTTTCCATTCTTGCAGTATAACTTAATATTCTAGCATGTCTGTTATAGAAGCATGCAATATTTATTTGCAAATTATACTGCAATATTTATTTGCAAACTATATTGGCTATATATAAACACAGAATTAAAACAGCATTTGTTAGTTAAACTATAATTGTAGGAAACAATAGTGTGTGCGAATTCAGGTGGCAGCAATTCCACCTGATCTCTTCTGATCCCAAGCAAGGGGTGGTCTCGGATGGGAAAACCACCAGAGAATCTCAGAGCTAGACATGAAAGTAAAAATACACTCTGGAAGAAGAGAAAGGCAAACCTTGTTGCCAAGAAAACATCACGTCTCTGTTCATATAGGTACCAGGAATCAAACCTGACTTGCCTTGACTTACTGCAGAAATTTAAAGTGAATGGGTAATGTAATAACTGAAAAGAAGTGCTATATAATTTCTTTTCCACCAGTCTAGAGAGATGACAGTGCTTCATACATGCATGCATGCATGAGTACATACATGCATAGTTATAGATGCTGGTGAAATTAATTAAATGCATTGCACATGCTTTCCTGACTGAGATCCATCTTAGAGAAATTGGTTCTGCCGCTTGATGGCAGAAAGCATCTGCATATGGCAGTGCCTGGCTAACACCTCCAATATTACAACCCACCATCACCCCAGAAGCAGTTTCACAACTTTTAAATTGTTAATACAGAACAGATTAAGGATTAAGGGAATAGGTTTGAATGATGACTCACTTAAAACAGGATGGGGAATATAAGAGAGATGATAAGAATCACCATTTGAATTGCTAATAGTACATACGTCAAACCCTTTGAAGGCAGAGAAAAATTGGTCTCGCTCTGTGAGAATGGGAAAAATGATTAATTGCATTTATAACTATATTTGTAGATATTTTAAGAAGTAACAAACACACTGCCTAGAACCATAAGCAGAGTTAAGTAGGAATGTCACTTTAGTAGCTTGTGAGCAAAATAGTATCTCAGTAAATCAATTCTGAGAAAATAAAGTAAACCAATTAAATTGGTTTTAAACAAAACCAATAGTAGGCAATGTGGCAGAAATGAGCCAATGCGTTGTGGAGTCTAAATAGAGTTAAACACTCTCGGCGGGGCACGTTTTAATTATTTACTAGGGGAACATCTATTGTATTTTCAGCCCCTAAGGTATTTTTTTTATACTATAAACTATTTGTATGTATTGGAGTTTGGTTTCAATAAATGCACATTTCTAAGAGTAACAGAGATTAAAAAAAGTAGCCTGATACCCAATAAAATAAATGCATTAATTAAAATATTTAATAAAATAAAAGCACCACCCAGAGTAATTAAATGTTCCTATGCCTGCAAAACCATTTAAAATTAACTTATTTTATTTACTCGGATCTTTTAATAAATGTATATGTCTATGTTAAATTTAAATATATGTTAAATGTAATATATACTATATCTTTACATAGTTCCAAAAAGTTAATGTCACTACCAGGTGTATCTTACTGTGCACAGCATTCCCGAATTGGGGAACCATTGAAAAGGCCATTGCCTGAAAACCACTCACTCCCCCTCAGCACAGAAGCATTTCTAAAATAATCTTAGGGTATGGATAGGAACATATAGGAGGGAACATGGCAAACTTTACAGATTAATCCCAGCATCCTATGCAATACCTGCTTCGCAAGCTATACTGGTTGCCCGTTTCCAGTGTGATTCAAGGTGCTGGTTGTTACCTATAAAGCCCTACATAACACAGGGCCTGGTTACTTGAGGGACCACCCATGTTCCATAACATCTGCCCAGCCAATCTCAACCTGCAGGGTTGGCGCGCTCCAGGTTCTTTCAGTTAAACAATGCCACCTATTGGGACCTGAGAAGCGCACCTCCTCTGTAGCAGTGCCTGCATTCTAGAATGAGGTTCCCCCCAAGATCTGGACGGCCCATACTCTGCTGTTGTTTAGAAGAGCCATGTTTGGTAAGGGAGACTGAGACCTCTCTCTTCATCGCACTTGCCATCTTTTATCTTTATGTTTTATTGATTTTATTGTAATTTCTTTGTTTGAGTGTTGTGAACCACCTAGAGCCGTTGAGAGTCAGGTGGCATACAAGTTTAATAATTTTTTATTATTTAATAAATTATTACTATCCTGAAGTGGGACAGGAAATGAACTGTTTTAAAAGAGGAATAAAATGTAATTCATTTTATATCAGCCATGAAAATGAGACATGAACTCAAC